TTCTCGTCATGAGATGTTCTCAGTAATGAAGACTTCAAGTACTGCGTCTTTTCTTGTCTTCAACCCACTATTTTTGTTGTCAGGGTTATTTACCTTTTTGAAAACAGCGTGACAACTGTAACGGAGGTGAGGCCAGTATCTCAAAGATAAGCGGATTGTAGTTGTTCCAATCAGCATCATGCAATGATGAAAACCCACTCAATAACAATCTGGTAAACTACCCAATCAGATATTAATACTCCACGATATGAATTAAAGAGAAATTTACTTCTGATATCATTACTTATGATTTTAGATTTCCACGGAAAAGGTAAAGATTTTCAATATATTTTGAGGCATTTGTTTTTACTTTGGGTCACTGAGCGTAATGAATTTTATAATTTTAGAGTGTTGGTGAAACATTATGTAAATGCATTTACTACGCTTGAAAACATTTACTGAGTGGAGACGTGAGAACATTAAATGAGTTCAAAGCAATATTTGGCGGTGAACCTGGAAGAATTTTAGCGCTTTTTGACGTCAGGGAATAGGCCCAGTGTCGGTTCTGAAATGGTAGCTGTAACATTGAAAGTGCTATTGAAAATATTGGGAATGAATCATTGCTTCAACCTCAACGTTGATGAAAGACAAATTTCCTAAGAGGCCCTTGTGACGTCACGGCCTTCACTCGAGGGCTGCTGCTAATCGAAATAAATATGGCTGACCGTCGGCGAGTGCGGCTGGAATGCTCGGATGGATCCGTTTTCACGTACAGAGAATTGTTCGTTTGACTGGGGTTATCTTCGCTAAGGTAAAAGCTGAAAACGAGCTCAATATCAAGGCTTTAATATTATAGGCATGGATTTGAGTGAGTGATCATTTTGAGATGAATGAAACGGGCTCGCGATCTAGTGCCGGAATGACTTCACCACGACATCCAACGCACCAAGCCGTAATGGATAGACTGCGGCAACGTTTCAGCCAGTACCGAAAGCGGCACTATGACTGCCAGAAACAATATGCAGAGTCACTGCCAGCTGTTCAGGACATGGAGAGACAAGAAGCACTGAATTTGCACAAACGTGCTTTAGATAGCCGCAATAGGATGATGAACATGAACGGGAAGACATCAAAACAAAATGACGGCGAAGGCAAAGTAGAACAGCAACAAACAGCAAACGGATTTGAAAAGTCAACTAATGCTATCTATCAAATACGCGAGGTACGTAGTTACTTTTTTGTGTAGTTGCATGATCGATTTTTTAACAGAACAACACATATCAGCATATGTTTTGATCGGCATTCATTATGATGACATGAATGCGTGGCTGTTGTTAACGGTATCGTTCCAATTGTTTAGGTTGTGTCTAGTGTAAAACACGCGCTCTACTTTCCATATTTCACACTAACCGTAGCTCATTGTACTTATCCTGCCAGCAGCAAATCCTATTGAAGAAGAGAAAACACGAACAGAATATGAACAGTACACAGAATTCGTACGTGGAATCGAATGATGACAACCTAGGAGGGGAGTACATGAGCAAGCTCCAGAGACATGATGGTGTTTTGCATGTTTCGTCGACAGAGGGACAAAATACTGTCGTTTCGGTTAATCAACCACACCGGATAACACATGCTCCAAGTCAAGTGCATCAACCTAATTTCAATCCCATTTCAATCCACGAAACTGTCGGAACAGAAACGTACGCTCGTAGTGGAAGCCACAGATTGCCGCTTGATTTTAAGCGAGAGAAGGGTGCGATCGATTCTTGCGATGAATCTACGCATTCTGAAAATGGCCCGGGAACTGTGGTTAACGGTGAAGACTACATACGACAAGAGCTTATCCATTTTGAAAACGTAATTAAACGCTTTAATGAAGACAGTGCACCTGCCACGTCGCAATCAATGCACCCAAGTGTAGGTGACAGAGCTTCACTGAGTGGTATCGATGACAAAAAGAAGCACCCACAATCTCTTCAATTGAAAGAAATTGCCAGGAAGTCACAGTTTGCTCAGGCTCAGCCTGTAATGTCATTTGGGGAAAGCCAAGAACGACCTAAACAACACTCTAGTCAGTATCCTGTTGGCCCAACAGGCCAACAGTCCCCTGGTTTACGGCACCCCTACACAGCAGGTAAATACCCTGAAGGTTTGTCAGTCATTTCAAATAATCAGCGACAATTACCTAGGCAGTATCAAATGGCTCTGTCATCGCAGTCACCATTACAACAACAACAACAACAACAGCAACCACAACCATTTTATGGTTTTCAACAGGACAGCTTACCAAAACTCACCCACATGCCTTCACAAGTCCAACAGCTGTTCACTCATAAATTTCAAAGTCAACCAGTTATTTCATCGTCATCACAGGTGGCAGGATTAAGAGGACCAGTTTCTTCACATGACATGACAAGATACACCATTCCTCGATCACAAACACAATATCAGCGTCAAAAGTCAATGCCACCATTACAAAATCAACCCTACTCAAACTCTGACTCACAGTACCAACAACAAGTTGGTAGTTACCAGGGAGACCTATCTGGATTTTCAGATCAAACCAATACTTACCATTATCAGCGGAGAAACTCTTTTCCAATTTATCATCGTACAAATAGCCAGCCACAAGAAAATTTCTCACGTGGAATGCAGCACACTTTGGGATCTAATCAAGCAAGTCTTCTAAGAGGTGTTTTACAAACTCCTTCCCAAAATGTTGTAGATGATAGAGATTCTTACTTGATGAATTCCAACATGAGTTTTTCATCATCATCATCTCCGCAAACAGTACCATTGTTAACCAGAAGGACACCCTCTTCTAATGGTGATCTAAACACAGTAGCTCCTGGCTCACAACATTCATCAATGATGTATAGAGGAAGTATTCAACAACAACAGCAGTCTGATTCAGTATTACAACAGGGAAGTGAATTTCAGACTTCTTCTGTGCCCCTCAGAGAAATGACTGAGCGATATTCATCTGTGACGGAGGGTGATGCACAGTATGGTGGGATCCCGCCTCTAAGTTCACTTGATAAAGCACCTTCATTTACATCTCTACTTGAACAGTCAGCCATTAATCAAGGGAATCTAGAAACAACTTACACAGGATCAATACCTAACCTAGATTTGCTTGGTGAACTCTTAGGTTAGTGATACTAAAAGTAGAAACATACCAGTTTGTTTTTTTTTCTTTAACATTTAGTTAATCAAGTTAAGTTTTATTCCTGTGGGGAAAAGGGGGCTTTTATGACCCCACATTCGAACAGAGTAAATGTTTTTAACATCTGACATATTTAGTGTTTTTGGGAAAATAATTTCCATTAGAGAACCTTTTTTTAATTGAAAACTTTTTTTTTTATTTGATGTTTTGTTTCTAGGTTGTTTAAGATTCTCATTTTTTATGCTCCATCATTTAACACAATTACTTCAGCAGCAACCACCAAGTGTTTTTCTTTTAGTTATCAGGAAAGTTGATAAAAAAAAGAAAGAAATTGAGAATTGTCAGAACCCATCTCATTGAGGGAATTTTTTTCGGTGGTCCAGGTTTCTTTTCATGTTGTATGGCAGAGACTTTATCACCAAGTTTGGTTCTCAAGATTTCAAGCTTGTACAATGCACAATTTTGTCTACTGAATGGTGATTTGAATTATTAAAGAAAAATAGGATTGATGTTGTGCAAATAAATGGTCATGGTTGCCACAGGACAGGGAAAAGGTGGGAAGTTAACTTTGACTTGTGGAAATTTTACATCTTTGAAAAAAGTCAGGAAAAAGTGTAATTTTAAATAAACAAGAAGTTGGTCTTGGCCCTGAAGAAAGATGGTGACACTTTCTTTATTGTGATGTTGACATTACTCATGTACTTTGGCTAATACAGTTGATAGATTCCTGACCAACATGTCCTTTCCCTTTGTAATATTCAAGTTGGTGTGTGAATGAAATCATACATTTTCTTTTTCTGTTTTCATTGTTTCTAATATTTGAAATTCTTAGGTGTGTTTTGTGGACTTGAAAGGTGTTGGATTGGTAGTATGTTGTTTAACATATTTAGTGTCATCTCAAGGGGCTATCCATTCATGTACACTGTATGTGATTTGTGAAAAGCATAAAGGTATGGGTGGAGAGAGTGGCTGTGAGGGGAGGTTGCAGGCCATTATGAGGGCTGGTTTGTGAAATTGTGAATTCGTTTGGTCTGGTAAATTTATGTTTCTTAGGGGAAAAGTCAGAGAATTTCCAAATTCTGTGACTGTGGCAACCATGATAACGGCAAATACTTTTAAGGTGATACTCAGACTCTGCTGTATTTCTATAGTAAATTTCAAAATTCTTGAGGAAAGTATATTTAGAACAACCACATGTACTGAAGACACCATTTACATGTGACATAAGTGTTAAAAAGCAGCAAGTTAGTCTGAGTAATTTATACATTTGTAACTTGATATGCTATATCTGTTTATCTTCCTTTAAGTTTTTATCATATATCCGACAATACCTATATTTTACTTCAACTTATTTTTTTTTTGGTTAGTGCCTAAAATACAAATATATTTCTTGTGCTTCCCTTGTAATCCTGGGCATAGCCCAAAATACTAATTCAGAAAACTTTTTATTTAGCTTTTACTTCTTCAAAATATTATGGAGTCTGAAAGTGTCGTCTGCAATTTTCTGTAGCTATTCTAAATTGTTTCCTATTTCCTTGATGTAAAGTGCCATGTTATGAGAATAGAAAACAAGCCATTGCCCAAAATTAACTGTTGTTGCAATAGACAAAAAAATTATGTCACCCCCTATTTTCCTGGGTAACCTGGGGAGGAAATTACTCAGTAAACGTTAAGCTTTGTTTTTGTTTTGTTTTGTTTTTTTCTTACATGTAAGAGTGCTCATAGGTGGAGAAAGCATTTAAAAGAGTCTTGGCATGGTTTCTGAAAGACATGTAATTTTACTTTCATCAACATAGATTTCAGTGAAATGGATGCAGCTTAAGGCCTTTAACACCTGAACTCAGTTTTTAAGTTATAGTGTATACATAGTTTGGGCATTTGTAAAGGCTTATGGATGTGGAAATTTGTTTTAGTTGTGTTTGTCTGTAGAGAGGTGGTGGATTAATGTAACAAATCCTTGAAGGGATATCCCAAAATTGTACAAATGTCTTTGACATAAATACATTGAGCCTGTTCATTTGAAATTTGCTTATTGCAAGATGGTTTTGGTCTGTCTCTCGCCAATATGTACAGGGAAAACTACCTGTGGATGTGCGTAAATAAATACAAGTCATGTACACCTAGTGGCCCATACTTCTGGAAATTGTGCTTGTTTCCATAAGAATAAGAAACTTGGAATATTGCTTCTTTTCCCTTTATGTGAATTTGCCAGTAGATTTCAATAGATTTCTGGTACCATTTGAAATCCTGGATTTAGAGGAGCACTCTGATTGTGAAGTAACTTGTCTACAAACCTTATGTGGGTACGAACCCGATGTGATGAGAGGCCAGAATTTCAATCTGAAACTTTCAATCTGAAGTCTAGCATGCTGGCCATAAGGCTGCTACATTTCCCATTTTATAAGAGCAAATTCCATTGATGCTTATCACAAATGGTGAATTTTTCAGGCTGTTTCTGTACTAAGAAGGATTGGGAATTAAAATCTTTCGTTGGAAGTGGTTGGTTGCTTATGTTGTTGAAGATTTTTCTTTTGGGTGATGGGTGAGTTATTTTATGTGAAATCCATTTGATTTTTATGTTCGTAGTTAAATCCTTAACAAGAAGCTACTAGTGGCACCTCTGGTTGTGAAATGTGTTTGATTTCTATGTTCCTAATTAAATTACCCTAACAAGGAAGTGCAAGTGGCACTTTTGATTGAGGGACTCTGTTGTAGACTTATTTTTTTTATTACAGAAACAACTGTGAAGCTTTTAAGAAAATGATGTGTAAATAAAACCAATTGAGAATTTGTTTTGAACAAAACTCAATTATGTGATTTCTTTCATCATTTGAAAGATATCTGTATATATGTATATTCTACATCTGTGGCATTACTGGAATGTAATTGTTTGTCAGAATACAGTATAAGTATGCATACAAGAACCTGCACCTTTTTCAGTTAGGTTCTTGAATAAACAGTATTTACTTGGAGGTTAGACTATTTAGGTTTATGCAACAGGTTCTTATTTTTGTTTTTTAACTTGATTCTAGTAGTACCATCTTTTTCTCATCAACAAAAGACAACTTTGTGTAATTACAGTTTTGTACAATATCTACATGTGTGTATATGCAAAAACCAAATGATAGGGATTTTACAGGAAGTGATGTGATCTTTGCTTGTAATTTCCAAAGTCTTGCAGCCAAGAAGGTTTACATGATCCAACAAAATCTGACTTCTAGTTTCAAATTGTCATACACTTGGCTTCAACTTCAAAAGAGTTTAAGGCATGTTTCTGAGGTCGTACACTGAAAATCATTACGGATTGGCAACAAAAAAATCTGCAGGCTAACATTTATAAAGGTCACATCAGCTAAGTCACTTTTACTGTCATTGAAGGATAACCACTTTAATAAAAAGAAACACCCATCTTGAGCAATTACCACTCATTAGAGAGGTTTATTGGACCTCAGCTTTTTAGATTACAACTTCATGGCCTCATTGAAAGGGTAATGTTCAGATCTAAATGTCACATTTGTTGTACACTGTAATGGGATTGAATCACTGTAATTAAATTACTATTTTGTTATTTTGCTGTAATTTTTTGGTTATTTTACTCTCATTGGCTTTAAGTTCATTCTTTTTATTTATTTAACTAGGCAGCCCAAACAAAATTGTACCACAACAAATGAAGCTTTACATAGAAGTCTGTAACTATATTGTAACCATCTAGTTTTGCTCCCTTGTTCTGTAACTTGTACTTATTTTTACATTATATTGTACAACTCTACATATTTTCATGCCATAATAGATATACGTCCTACTCTGTTATGATTTGTTTACAATTATTAACTTTTTAGATTTTAGATTTTTTGAAAGATTTAAAATTTTGTAAATAGCGATTTTTTTTAACCTGAGAAAGGCCAAAATAGCAGAAATATTGTCATTAAAGTCTTAAAAAGCTAAGTGTTATCTTTGTTTATTTATCCATAAGTCCAACCATTCATCCATTAATATTTGTATAATAAGCTCAGTTATGCAGGCATTCTGATTGGTTCTCATATATGATCTGGCTGCGCCTTGAGTGCCACTTTTTTGTTCTTACCACATTTTGACATCATCTGT